TCAGAAACTTTAAATGTACTGAAATTCACTTATACTTCCAGAAAAATCACCGCTTTTTCACATTTTCTTATTAATTGTCATTGTAACTCATATATTTTTAGAATTCAGCGCAATTAAAACACGCTTACTATCGAAAAATTTATTATTGAGAAAATTGGCTGGTCTGATATTTTCTTTTAACATGCAATTCGCCTTTGTTTACTTTTTGTACAGAAATGTCATCGCCACTATGACGGGGCAATCTTGTACTCTTTCTTGTCAAATATGCATTTTGATGTAACTGCTATGAAGCTATGAATACTCATTAAAATCGTTTCAGTTCGTAATAAACGTACATTACATACTTGTAGTCTAAATCATGATAAAAACATAGCAAGGTATAACCGTTCTCTCAATTTGTCGGCCATGATTTTTTTTTGAAGTTAGAAAACATTTTAAAATCATATAAATGTGAAAATAAAAAAATGAAATTGTTCGAAATTGTTGTTGCTTGAGATGGAAAATGAAAATGTGTGTGTGAGTTTGTGAGTAAATTTAAAAATTAAATTGTTTGGAAACGTCAAGAATTTTAAAAGAGACTCTCAGCGGTTCTACCTTACTATATTTTTATCATGGTCTAAATATATTTTTTAATATGAACTAGCTTTTTTAATTCTAGAAAATATCAATAATCACAAGAATTATAAAAATTTCTCTTCAAAAGATACGTTTCAAAGCATCCCTGTTGATGTCATAATTCAAATAAAAATTTGAATAGAAATTTTGATGCAAACGATTTTCCTCGATATTCATCATAGAAATTTCTTTAATCTTTATTTTCTTCCACGCAAATTTACTCATTACTTTAAATGGCTTTCATCTTTTTATATTTGTAAAAAATAATATAAACATGTTGCTCTTGCCAGCTGCAATAGCTTCAATACACTAACAAAAGTGTGAATACCCAGTGCCCAGCTTAGAACAAGAATCCTAGCATTTTGCCTCCCAAATGTTACCGTCTGGCCTCCTCAAGATCCATAATGCCTCCGGAGTTAGTCAACACAACGTAACCAAATTGACGAGAAGGCAGCAAGTTGTTGGTCCACTTCCAACCATTTCAACCAATTTATGCGATTTAATGGGCCTCATGCATAAAAAATGAGTCTAAGGTCAGACTCAATTTTTACACTAAAGGGGTGAGCTTAAGCTCAAGAATTTGTACTGAAAATCGAGTTGGAGCTTAAACTCACATTTAATGCATGAGGTCCAATATCTTCACTGCTACCTTGTGTTGCGTCCAGTAAATAGTGGCCAATTTTTACGAGTGCCTGTGGGCCTCTGCCAGTAGCTGCAGCTGCGGCGGCACGTGATTGTGGCATAACGTTGATGTAAGCGTAAAATAAGAAAAGGTTTGGTAAGGTTTTTCGGGCCGCTGCTTAGGCCACAATCGCAAATGCACCCACACATGCGTACGTGCTGCGTAGAGACGTAAATTATAGTTTTCCCCGAGCTCCAGTTTCTTATCGCACTATTATTTCCCTTATTACTTATAATTCTCTGCCACGATTTACGCTGCTCGGGCCACGGCTGCTTTTACAAGAAAATAAACCATTTGTTTAAACGATGCTCATCTTACTTGTCCGTATGTCGCTCTGGAAAGAAATATATATTAAATTATATGTTTTCTTAAAAATAAATGCAAATTTACCTAATTTTTCCACCGGCAGGCACGAATATGATGTTCAAAACAAAAGCAATGACAACGAATTTCACACACATTGATGTATTTTAGCGCAAACGATAAGTTTCACAAATATTTTAAATTATTGCCTGGAACATACACATTTATCGTTATTATTGGAAATGCAAGACTTGGCATGCATTTTTAATTTCTTTTTTATTGAATTCAAATGAATAAAAACACATTTTTCTAAAATACTTCTCAATTTACATTTTAAAGTTTTTTCTGAAACTTGAATGTAACTCTGTGCGGAGAATGAGAGAATTGAAAATCAGGTGATCTCAGCTGTTTTCAAATGTAAACAAACAAAATGGCGCTTTCCATACTTGTAAGCCTATACAATGCTGATGATCAAGTTCCAACCTACTGATGTGTCATGGTGGAATAATACAAGGTGTTGGATATTGACAGCGTTCTCGCTCTAATCCGCCATCTTGACTCCCTTAGCAAAATCGATGTTTCCCTCTTGAAAAAACTACATTTTACCGCCTTAAAAAAAGTACTAAACTAAAACTAAAAGTAGGGAATGAGCCTATTCTAAAACTGATTTGCAATCACTGAACAATTATTTGACATTTAATTTATTCTTATTCGTTGACAACGGAAAATTAAATAACAAATTTTAAACTTTAATTCTACAAAAAACGTGGGCTTTGTGTATTCTCCAAAGGATTTACAGCGAGATGGGCGCTGTTTTCAGGCACTCACTGAGGGAAGCTTGAATTACTGCTGCGTGAGGCAAAATACGCCTATAATAATTTACAATACCGAGGAAGCGGCGCGAGTCAACAACTGTTTGAGGCTTTGGATAACTTTTTCCTCAGGAGGCTGGTAACAATGCTGGCTCACAGAATAGCCTAAGTAGACTACTTCACTTCCACCGATATGGAATTTTTTTATGTTGATTTTTAAGCGAAAGTCTCCTGCAGTGCGCCAGCCACCGGACTCTTTGGGCATCATGTGGATGGGACTTGTCCATTGATTGCGTGTTATGACACCATGATGCAGCAACAGATTAAAATCTTCTTTTGCGGCGTTTAACTTCTCACCAGTGAGTTTGCGTGGGCGCTCGTGGACTGGGGGACCATTGGTGACAATGTGGTGTACGGTTGTTTCACTATCGACATTTGGTGCAGCATAACGTAGTGTGATCTCTATGTAATCCTTCAACAGGTTAGCTTAGAATGCGTCTGACTTGCTTTTGGACAAATTCGACGTAGGGTGCACAATTGTCGCGATGCTGTCAATTTGTATAAATTTATACCAAACTCGGTGCACTTAATTATCTTGGCATAGAAAATCAATACGTTTAAAATACGAAAACTCCGACGTTTCAGTAATTGTGGACCCTAATTTACTCCAAGTTAATACTTACAACATGCATTTAACAATAAATAAGACTGTTATATTACTGTAATTATTACAAAAATGTAGTTTTATTACATTTTCTTACTTTTACTGTGATACATATTTGAATTATCTAATTCCCTGAATTAAAGTGGAATCTGATATTTTTAACCGGTGACCACCCTGGGAGGTTGCTAAAAATAAAGCGTTTTCAAAACCATTTCCGATGCCCATATTGCAGCAATGCATTTAATCTTCCAACCTAGATACGAACACGTAAGTATGCGTCCTCCTACAATCGGACCACGGCAACATGGAGTGTATCGATGTCAAACGTTAAGTTTCTTGTTTCTTGTTTGTTTGTAACTATTTATATGCAAAATTTGATATGAAAAATAGTACCAAATTTCGTACTACTTCGCAAAGCGGGCTTTTTTTCTTCCCGTTTCTCTCGTGCTTCCATATTACAACCTTTTGTAAGGGAGCCGTCGACATGAGCTGTCACTACGTACAACACCTTGTATAATTCCACCATGCTGATGTGTGTTTTGATCATGATCAGTGTTGCCAGAACTTTTTGGGCCGACCGGCTAGATTGGCAAAAAAAGCGGCTAAAAACGGCTAAATTGTTTTAGTGAAATTTCGCATAGACTCTGGCAAAAAACGGCTGAAATGTTTTAGTGAAAATCCACATGCTTTATTTAAATAAATCGCAAGAAACGAAAGACTAGTTAACACCATTAATTTATATCGAGTGTATATTCCTCATCATCAAATGAATCACTATTGTATATATCACCTGAATTCATTAATTTTAAGAGATCGTCATCTACAGTAAAATTATGGCAGTATTTTTCTTCACGTTTTAAACCGTATCTTATATATAAAATAGCGTTTAACGTTTTAACGCACATTGGATTTCTTTGCTTAGTTTTTATTATATTCATTGAACTAAATATTCGCTCTACTTCTGCATTACTTATAGGCAAAACAAGAAAACTAAAAACTAGGTTGCAAAGGTCAGCAAAAGGGTTTTCTCCTAGGGCATTTCGAAATTGATAAACTTCGGCCCAAAATTTTACAGTTGAGTCTAAATTACTCCAGGTATGTAACGTTAACCGTTGCCATTGAATCTCTATGGATGTTATTTCGTCGGCATTATATTTGTGTTTTTGTTGCTGTAGTTGAATAAATACTTTTGGTTTAATTACTCTTAATGCATTTCCAACCGAAAAAAGTCAATTTTATTTAGTGTGGCAATATTTGTAGGTGAGGCGTTGGCGTAATTCCTTTATTGAAGTGATAATAAAATAGCGACCATTTTCTCGAATTATTTTCTCGGCTTCGTGGTCAAAAGCGTTTGTGCTTACTTTTGTTTTTAAATACTCTTCAAAACTGTGATAAAACTGAGGAAATGGAGCAAGGTATGGTTCCAACGGGGAGCATATAGGATCAAATGTGTCCGCGCTAATAACCACTAGGGAGCATAGATGCGAAAGTAAAACATTGAGTTCATTAAAAATCTTCATTGGGTCTGCATTATTGCTTTCGAACAACTTGTTTACTTTTTGTACCAGAAAATTAGGCAAATAGTAAAATCGGCTAAAAACGGCTAACTTTTTTTTACAAACCGGCTAACAAATCGGCTGCCGGCTAGATCGAATTTTCTCCGGCTAGTTGCTATCAAAACCGGCTAAATCTAGCCGGAAAACGTCTAAAATGGCAACGCTGATCATGATTCATGAATCATGCGTTTTGATGCCAATTATTCTGTCGCTCAGTCCATTTTCCCCTGTTTCATAATAATTAAAAAAAAAAATATTTTCTGATTGTCTTCGATGTTACCCTCAAAACGTTTATTTAATACATTTAAGATTATATTAATATACATATATAATACGTTTTTGAATGAGTTAAATAAAAAAGCATTCCAATGAGTGTCTCCGATGTATCCACCGAGTCAGAAATGACCGCAGCCGAAGAAGAGGAAGAGCGCCTAAATATTGGAGTAAGTGTGGAGCGTTTCACCAACAAATCAGAGATTAATCCTGATTTGAATTTTTTTGGATAGTTATATATTGGCGGTCGTAACGCAACTGGTCATCGACACGGTCGTGGCTGGGCAATCCTCCCGAATGGCGATCAATATGATGGACAATATCGTCAGGGAAGACGCCACGGTACAGGCCTGTATGTGTTTAAGGACGGTTCACGCTATTATGGATCCAATCGCTGCGGTTGTAAAAATAAAAAATAAAGTAAAAAATAATTAAAAAGACTATTGATGTTCCAGGACATCGCTCTGGTCGCGGCATGTTCATCTATCCTGATGGCAGCATGTATGAAGGTTGCTGGCGCAAAAACATGAAGCACGGCAAAGGCCGCTACAAATATGCTAATGGCGATTGCTACATGGGCAACTGGTACCGGGGACTGCGACACGGCGTTGGTGTTTACTGCTACAACTCCAGCGATTGCGGGGAACTTCGCTTCAAAGGCACTTGGCGTCTGGGCTTTCGTGTTGGTCCTTTTCAAATATTTTTTGGCAATGAAGATCATTCAACCATATTACATGGCAACTGGATCAACGGTATATCCTAATGGGATTTTTTCAAACGCCCGGGATGGCATATAAAATTAAAAAACGAGTTGAAGGTAATGGGGAAGAGGTGGCTGGAGAGATCGAGTCGGAGCGCGATGAAGCTGTGTTTGTTGATGTGCTACCTTCCCAATGGTTTGCCCAACATATTTGCTACTATGATTATTCACAGCTGCCACAGGAACCAGTGCCATTACCATTATCCGATTCTGAGGTGTCTGTCTGTTCG